AGTTATATACCATAACCTAAGATCAGAAAGTTACTCAAAATAACGCACTGATTTCAACTGAGCTACCATAAGACTTGAACTCTGCATGCAAATACCCTTTGCAAATATCCTTAAAAGTTCCTTTTATACACAACAATAAGCTCCAACTCATAAAATCCAAACAGCTAAACCATAATCTGTTTCATATTTCAAACCAAGACTAAACTAAAAAAAAAAACTTAAAAGACACATCCAACAGGAATTAGCTGATTACAGATTTAGTTATATCCTATTCACTGATAAATATACATAGTCAGGATCTTTCTAAGCTACGTAGTACAGGCTGTGCATGAAACTGAAAGAGAGAGAGTGATGAAACTTCAACAACAAACAATCATCAGATTTGATCACATTTCATATTCAAACTTCAAGTTACATGCAAGTGATGTCCATGGTGTCGACAAATACCTGGAAATGAAAGGAAATAAGAAGTGAGGGATCATCAGTAGCAATAGCAGAAGTCAGTCCCAGAGTCAATCAATCAGATAGTGAAATTAGCCTAGGAAGACCAATGGAACAGTAACCCAAACAACACACTTAAACCAGCACTTTAAAAAAAAAACAAATTCAATCCATTTCAACCCCAGATGAATCAGAATTGCTTCAGAAATTGAAAACCTCAAGAATCACAGAAGAAATTCAATGGAACAGTGATTTTATGAAATTTCCAGCCGTTTTTTATTTTTCTGAATTTTTTCCCTTTTTTTTTTCTCTGCCTTGGGATAGAAGGTAAGGTGCCTTTATAGGCAAGCCTTTAGGGCAGCAAAAGTGTATTCAGCTTTACACTTCTGCCCTTTTTCAATTTTTATTTTTGCTTAGGACTCCTTAATGTAAAAATCAGGTTTTCATTCAGGTCCCCTTGACAGTTTCTGGGAAGCTTCCTAATCAGTTATTCGGAGATTTCCCTACCTAGACTCCCCAATTTACCCCCTCAGCACCCTGTTTTTACTTCAGAAAGCCTGACCAAAACATGGGTCAAGTTGACCCAAATTCATTTAGTGGGTCTGAGTCTACAAATTCTGGGCTAAACCTTTTCTTTTGAGCCCAAATTTGACTCGGGGTTTCACAAAAAAATTCGAAGAAAAGGGGAGGAAGGGGACCAAACAGAGTCAACAGACTCTTTGACCTAAAAACTTCGAAGGCCCAAATAGAAAGGGCAAGCCAAATAAACTAACATTCAATCACAGAAACACTAATTAACTTAAAATGAAAAACATGCAAAAAGATTGAAGTATCGGAGAAACAGAGAAGAAAAAGAAAAATCAAAACATACACAAAAGAAACAGAAGAAAATGATAAAGAAACTCACATGAAAGCTAAAACTCAGAAGTTGAAGACCAAATACCTAAACATAGCCCGGACCGTAAGAAATGCAAGAAGAACTTCGAATCTTTAAAATTTCCCGGTCAAGTTTGACATTAATCATGTGTTCTTATCAAGAACACATGAATAACGTCGAACTAGACCCAAACCTCACTGAAGTCTCGAGTTGAGTTTGTTTGGAATTTTAGGGCTTGAACTAGATTCAAGATTCGACGAGCTTGGCTATTATTCGAGGGTAAAGGGTTAGAGATTTGGGATGGGGAGACGGAGAGGGTTCTATGGTGTGAATTTTGGCCAATTTGGTGGTGGCGCCGCCACCGGAGGATGGTGGAATCATAGGGAGGCACTAGGGTTGGCGTGGGATTCTCTGAGGGTGAAGTGAATGAGAGAGACGGGTTTGGGGGGGGGGGGGTACTGAGATTCAGACACTATTATACTAAACCTACCCCACTTTAGGACCGTTTGATTGAACAAATTCAACGGCCCAGATCGAGGGCCTTCAAAACGGGGTCGTTTGGCTCAAGTGAGGATCGGACCGGGTAGGGGAGCGGGTTTGCGCTTGGATTGGGGCGGGTTTTGGGGAAAATGGATTGGGCCTGGGAAATTTAATTGCAAAAGCCCAAAAATCAGATTTCTTTTTTCATTCTTTTCCTTTTCTTTTAATTTCTAATTTTCCTTTAAATTAAAACTAAAAATAAAAACCTAAATTAATTCCTAAATCAAATTATCCTACCACATTAAATTAATTAACCCTAACTAACAATTACCAAATTGAAAGAAAAAATCCCAAAATTCGAAACTCAAATTAAAAAGTGTAGAAATGAGTTATTTTTTGTGGTTTTTTCCATTTTTGTAAAGCAACTAAATTGCTAATTAATTTTAAAAACGCAAAGTTAAATGCAAATGCAATATATTATTGTATTTTTCATAATTTAACCAAAATTAACATGCGCATACAAATGCAAACAATTAACAAAAATGCTACAAAAATCTACGAAATTGCAAACAATGGGAAAAATTTATTTTTCTTGAATTTATGGGAGTAATTCATATAGGGCAAAAATCACGTGCTCACAACGACATCCGCCATAAAAATGGCCCCTACGTCTGGTGCAAGTGCAGGTGCCGCCTCCAGAGCAATGAATTTCTTCGGGTCAATACCAGTGACGACGGCCTTCCCAAGCTCCACCCTTCGCCTCTTTCTCGATGGCGACTCCTCTCCATTAGACGACTCGTCTACAAGATGGTAGATAGGCCGGGAAGAGATCTATCTCGCACAACAACATTCTGAGGGGCGGAATCCCTCGCTGACATAGCTTGAGTACGACCCCCGCGAACGGACTCGGCCAAAGCAAATTGCATCCATGTCGATGCGATAGCCTGGCGAAATGCCGGCACTAGAGCTTTCTTCTTGGAAACCCGTCGACCTAGCACCAAAAGGAGGTCGTATCAACGAGCAATGGCAAACAACAGAGAGCTGAAGCAAAAGTAGCACTTACTAGACGGGACCTTCGGTCCGAAGCGCTTGTAGAAAATCGCCCAATCACGAATCCCCGCCATATGAGGCAACACGGGAGCCACCCAATCTTCAATGTCGAGGACAGACGAGGGTGCATGCCTTTCAGCTGAAAAACAAAAAGACCGCAAATGAGCCGAAAACAAAAGGATGACAAAAGACAACGAGCGTATGACACACTTACGATTATGGTTCCACTCCTCGGGAAACCCAGTCGGGTTCGCCAACAAGTGCTCGGTCTTGATAAAAAAGTACTTATACCAGAACTTCCGATTCGTCCTATCGTCCATTCCGACTATCAGCCCTCTGGTCTCGCGATGCCGTAGGTGTATCATAGTACCTATAAAAACTTGGTGAAAATAAGTGCAGCAAGTGACGAACATCAACCTCACAACCAACCAATTCGGCGTACTTCGTTAGCATCTAAAATGCTTTATACAAATAAAGAGAGAGTTGTGCCGGACAGACGTTGTAAAACCGGCAAAATTCCTCCGCTAGTGGAAGAAGAGGAAGAGTATAATTGATCAAGAATGGGTAGACATAGAAGGCACAATACCCAGATCGATGGACCTCTACGATGTCGCCACCAGCCGAAATTATCTCGACGTGGTGGTGGTGGTGGTGGGGGGGGGGGGGGGAGATGCGATATTTTGGATCGAAGCTCAGCTATATGAGACGGACCAGTCTCGGAGATCACCTGAGCGGGAGCGGGAGCAGGCTCCTTGGGAAAATCATTTCTAGACAAAGGTTTTCTGGGAACTATCTCCTCCACGGTAGGAAAGCTCTCATCCTCTTCGGCCATAAATTCCTCACCACCGGGAGGAGGAGCCACCGATAACGGAGTGGCATCGAAAACTTCATCATGAATGCGAAGAGTTTGTGACATGTTTCGACAATGAAATGTGTTCTACCAAACCTAAAGAAGAAGATAACAACTAGGTAAGGAACAGAGAAATGGAATCGGAAAAGCTAAATCAAGAGCAGAAACTGGCAAAGAAGATCAAAGAAGAATAGTGCTCGTGCAAGGTAAAAGATGGTGAAAACTTCTGAAAAATGTAACTCCCATCTATTTATAGGGCTGGGTGGCGCGAGAATCGAAGCAAATGATTGTCAATGGCACCAAAACCAAAGAGGCAGGCACACAGACGCTGTCTCGGGAAGATGCGTAATGATGACGCCCGTGGCCATGACGTCACCCCATGGTAGCCACACCAATCACGGCTTCACTGGTTGCGCGTTCTCTCCACCTCGACCGACCCGACTTATTCAACACAACCAAATTTTTCCAAAATGGAGGTGAATCAGGTCCGCTTATCGAGGGCATGCAGGACCACAACCTCAACAAGCGGAGAGACTAACTGTATTGGTCTAAATTTGGCGACTTGGCAGTAATGGATAGGCGAGACCAAGAACGAGGTCGACCGCGGTGTAATAGCTGAAGGTTGCTCTCGAGAAGGCTGATGCCAGAGACGGGCAGCTGAGATGAAGAAATAACGGCAACATAGGTTCAGATATGGACACAAGGAATATTCCTTTGGATATTCCTTATTTTGTACTTTTCAGGGTTTCTGGAAATATCCCTTATAAATAGGAAGAGATAGAGAACAAAAAGGGGGATCTGCACTTTATGAGAAAAACACATTGCAAAAGGTTGACTTGATAGAATATACAAAAGTTGTCTTGTTCATTGATTACCTTATCCAAGCATATGTTTTCGATTCTTTGTTCACAAGTTCCAAAGATTCCTCTACCATCTTTATTTCTCATCTTTCCACGCTGCTGTGAGGGAAAAGAGCCCTCCAAAGTCTTACAATAATTGAGTGGTAGATTCCTTTTTGTTATATTCATTGCCATTATCTACATTTATTGCACATTTATGATATTGCATTCATGAGCATTTAATTAGTGCGAACTTAGTGATTAACATTGTCTATCTTATCGACTTCACATAATATTTGGTCTAGATTTTATTATTCTTAACTAATAAGATTCACCCTTCATCTCATCATTAATTGATTTAACTGAAAGACTTAATATTTTTTCGTCAAAAACCAACCTAAAAATTAAAGCGTGAAAAATGTGGTATGTAGTAAATTTTTACCAAAGGGGAAAAAGCCTATACAACTGCTCCAAAGCGCGAGATATTTCCCTTAAATGCAACCTTCACTTCTATCTGTTGCGCGGCGGCAATTTTCCCATCTCCACCATACGAAAAAGGGCGCCAAGCTGCTAGGGTTTTTGCAATTACAGAGGCTCTCGACCTCCAATTATTCTTCTCGCTATTCAATTCCGTCTAATAAATCCATAAGCTAGCTTCGCCTCTGGTACTACATGTCAAGATTTTGTTAGGGTTTAGATGAAAAGTGTGGAACCACAGGTAAAAAGTTATAGGTCGTCGTTGGAAATAATCTCGTATTTATTTGCAGGTATATTTATAGATAAAGAAAAATAGGAACAAAATGGATTATGATGTAGCTGAACAAAATGATGGTAACTATCAACCACTACAGCCGTATTCAGAAACCCGTGGAGATAATAGTGCAGGCCATGAATTAAAGCATTCAATCGATGATTCTTCTGCAGGGTTAGTTTGTAGCTTAGTACTTAGTTTTGTAGCTTCTAGTTTTGGATCTTTAGGGTTTAGATGATGGCGAAATGCATAAGGCCATGCCGAAAGTATTGTAACTTTGCTGGTTTTGCTTGTTGTTAGAAAGCTTTTTGTTGGAGGCATTGCTTGGGAGACCAATGAAGGTAATCTAATTTCTGATTCTGATGTGCTTTTTCACCTGTATTTGATTGGTTCTTTTTGCTTAGACTTGTTGTAGACAGGTCTGTGTTGGCTTGGACAACTATTATAGCCTTTTAATTGACATATGGATCGGTGATAATTTTAAAGATAAATATTACTAGTTGAATTCCTAATGTAGCTGTCTAGACTCTAGTTGTTCTGCTTTTTGTTCATTAGGATTTGATTGTGATGTAGTGGAAATTTTGAAAGCCTACTTATTGTATGAGCTTGATATAGGAAAAGCTCTAATTCCTGTCGAAGTTCTTATGTTTATTAGGAAGGTGGAAACTTGGGCCTTCAGTTTACACTATTATACCTTGAGTTTCCTGCCCCAGAAATATGAAATTTTCGATTTTAAATAATATCATAAGCATCTTTTTCTTAGTGTTTTATTTAATAAAGTCATGCACATATATCTTAGCTGCATCACAAGGTGTAGTTCCCTGGTTCAAATTTTGGTGGAAATGTTTTTTTCTTCCTTTGGTTTGTGTTTGTTTGGGTTTTTTTTGGGGGTTTTGGGGGGGGGGGGGGGTTGAAACATTTTGCAAACATCTTCAGGAAAACAGTAAAGCAACCTTTAAGTCTTATGCTCCTCTGATCAGGGGCGGATTTATAGGCAAATATACTGGGCACGTGAATCTATGGTCTTTCCGCCAAACTAGGTTTTTTATGTACATATTTTTTGGAATTTGTCTAATATTATCTGTTAGCACCCATCCTTCAAAAAGGCTAAATGGTGCACTTGGTTGAATGCGAAGTTATTTACCTGGAGGAGCAGGGATCAAATCCCACTTAATAGTTAATACTTTTTTTTCTCCTTTCTTTAGTGGTGCACCCATGTTATAAAAAACCTAAATCTGCCTCTGCCTCTGATACAATAATTCAGTTTCGTGAGTTAATTATCTCCTTTCTTATGTATTTGCCTGGTTTTGGGTGAATCTGTAGCTTATTCAAATGATTTTAAAAAAACTGTTGCATTGTTGTAAGATCGCACTTTCAAATAGTTTTTGTTTAACCTATGTATATTGTGTCCGCTTTGTCTTTATTTCTTACTCTTAAATCCAACTCTAAGCTCGATACTTATTTTATACATGTTATTTTTCCAGAATCTTTTAGGAAATATTTCAGCAGGTTTGGAGAGACAACTGACTGTGTAATAATGATGGATAAGGTCTCTGGACGGCCGCGAGGATTTGGATTTGTAACATTTGCTGACCCAGAAGTTGTGAATAAGGTTTTAGAGGAAGACCACATCATAGATGGTAGAATGGTAGGATTTTTGAGTGGGAGTATCTTGTAATGTCATGTTTTCTTTGGTTTATTTGGAATTGGAAGTATGTATTTAGTAAATTTACTATGATTATTGGATCAGGTGGAAGTGAAAAGGACAGTACCTAAGGAGGACATGCAAGTTAAAGGAGCTCCAAAAACAAAGAAAATTTTTGTCGGCGGTCTTCCATTATCTTTAACCGAAGGTAAAATTCAATACGAGTTCTTATTGTCTATGATCTAGAATAGATGTTTTAATCCAGTGATTCATTGCAGATGAGTTGAAGGAATATTTTTCTTCTTATGGCTATGTTCTGGAGCACCAAATCATGCTGGACCGCGAGACTGGTCGGTCCCGAGGCTTTGGCTTCGTGACTTTTGATAGTGAACATGCCATTGAAAAAGTTTTAAACAATGGCCGTATGCATGAAATCTGTGGCAAACAAGTAAGTCACGTGGACTCTGTATTAATCATGATTAATTATCTCTGTGGTACTTGTGTCAAATGAAATATATACAACTCTTTGACATTTTGACATCTTCAGGTTGAAATTAAGAGGGCTGAGCCAAAAAGAGCTGTTGCTGAATATGCAAATGGGAGCAGGCAGTATCTTGGTGGTAGTGGCTCGAAATCATACAGTGGCTTTGGTGGGTCTGAAGGAGGGTTTAGTGGTGGTTATGGTGGAACGATGGGTAGAGGGTATGGCGGATATGGTGGTGGTGGTGGTGGCTATGGTGGTTATGGAAACATTGGAGGAAGTTATGGTGGGGGTGCTGCAGGATTTTACTCTGGGTATGGTGGATATGGTTATGGATTTGGGTTTAGTGGACCTATGTACGGGGCAGGTGGATATGGAGGCACTAGCTATGCGGCTCCTGGTAGCTATGGTGGTCCCACTGGGTATGCTGGCGGTAGAGGATATACAAGCGGTGATGGTAGCTGGTATGGTGTGGCTAAAGGCGCCGCATCTGGCAATGCTAAAGGGTATGGTGCTGGTGGTAGCACTGGAGGTGCTAAAGCATATGGGAATGGTGGTGCTGCAAGCAGAAGGTTTCATCCCTATCAGAAGTGAGACCTTGCTCACGAGTCTGGAGTTGCAATTGCTTTGACTACTATTGGCGGGTCCGAGCTAGGTGTAAAACCTTTGCTGCTGAGTTTGTTTCCTTGTGCGGTTGATGATTTTCAGTGAAATGTTGACAGCTTATTTTGATTAAGCCTCTGTAGATGTATTAGCATATTGGTTTTGGGAGAAATAGTAGTCTTTTGGCTTAACTTTTGCAAGTTGTTTAATCATCTCTGTGTAAGGTCAGGATAGAAGTTACAAACTTTGTTCTTCTGGTGGCACACTCGGATACAAACTTTTGGTTAGTTGGTAAATTAGAGTATGTGCTATAAACATAGACACTACTCTGAGAAGTCTCGCTTTTACGTTGTATATAAAAAAATGTGTCCAAGCCATTGTTTTATAAATTGATGGTTTCAACGAGCTTTTAAAATTGAAAGTCGCTTCTGCATAATATTGCAAACATGAACCTCTTTTGTAATTTTTGCAAAAATCCTACTTTTGTTATGTAGCATCTAGTCTAGAGCATAAAAGATAAGACCTTTGCAATATTGCATTAAAGGGCAAATACTATAGATTTCCTACCTTAGATTTTGGTTATCTATAAAATGTTAAAATCCGAAGTAATCCTATGTTCCTTAACAGCTTATCTTGCTGAAATAAGTTGGTCTTTCCAGTAGTACTCGCTATTTTATCTATTATCGCATATTATTGCTACAGTCACTTTTGACCTTCAAAGTACTAGTTTAAACTAAGAATTCAAAAAAGAATACTTTAAAAGACGCACACCTGGAATCTATTGTCCTCTTTATTTTTGTCTAGGACACAGAGAGCATATGTTCACTATTTAGACTAAAAAATTTAGTAGGTGTAAGAACAATATTTGGTTGAAGCCATAAAAAGTATTTGAATTGAAATTAAAAAAGAGTATTTGAAAGTTAAAACTTACTTCCTCCGGTACATAATAAGGCCTCATTTGTTTGCATTTAATGGAGGTCTGAATCGTAATTATCCAGATCTCAGACATTAAGTGCGTTTGTTTTTAAAGTCTGAATCTTAATCATTCATATCTTAATCATTAAGTGTGTTTGCTTTTTTTACTTTACAATCACTTAATAAGCCTAAATAGGTTTGTATGATTAAAATATGTAACAAATCATTAAGATGCTATCATTCACATTCATTACTAACTGTCGATACTGTCTACCGTTATCAACTACCACCACCACCACCACCATCCTCGACCATAGCCACCGCTACTACCATCACCCACCGCCATCATCCTCAACCATAACCACATACGCACCCACCTCAACTACACCACCAGCCACCCCATCACCATCAATAACCTTAGCTGGCATCGCCCGCATTATAAACTACCAGCACCTGCCATCACTTTCCTCAATCATAATGACAACTACCACCACCACCATCCTCAACTATAATCACTATCGCTACCAATCACCACTAGCTACTACTCAAAACTAACACCATCAACCAAAATTACCATCAATCAACGTCTCTAGTCGTCACTCACAAGAAGCATCTTTGATAGAATATTAGATTAATTAGTATTTTATTTGAATTAATATTTATTAACGTTTAAATAAAGATAAAATCTATATATTTAGATGTTTAAAAAACAAGCAGTCTTAGTCATTTATTATTCAAATCTTAAAACACATCTTAATATTTAGATGTGTATTCAGATTCACATGTCTTAATCTTAGTACACATCTTGACAATCAGATATGCATTCGAATTCAAACGTCTTAATCTTAAAAAACAAATGAGGCTTAAGTTACTTTTTGGCCTTTTTATTTTGGTTCAAAATAAGTGTTCTTTTTACATAATCAAGAATGTATTAAATATATTTTTTCAAATTTTCCCTTATTTACATATCGCAATGTGTCAAGTTACAATATGCAAATTTTAATTAAGGGTAGTTTAGTCAAGATACTTATTTTTTTCTATGACTTAGTATTTTCTCAAGGAGTGTGGCAAAGGCCAAAAAGTCACTTATTGTGGACGTAAGGAGTAGTATCTTATTTTTAAAATTTTTTTACCTATATTTCAAATAGGGGTGTTCATGGTTCGGTTTGGATCTATTTTTTCCTAAAAAGAAACCAAACCAAGTAAGTAGATTTTTCAAATATTAGAACCAAACCAAACCAATTAAGTCGGGTTTTTCTCGATTCGGTTTATGTCGGGTTTTGTCGGTTTTTCTTTTTTTTTTTCCCCGGTTATTTATCGGTTTTTTCTTAAATATAAGACATACACTACCAAACACATATTCCGGCGATCACATTTTCAACGTAACACTATCAAATCAATTGCCCTTTGAGAAATCTATTATTTACCAAGATATATTGATGATAATTGAATCAAATAGTGATGAATAATTTAATGGCTCAATTAAAAATATATTATTTTTAACACGAGATGGATTCTTACATTTAACAAAAGAAAACTACCAATCAAACTAGAATGTAAAGGTAAAGAACTATACTAAAAGTACAAACTATTACTCCCTCCGTTCCAGTTTATGTGAACCTATTTTCTTTTTGGTCCGTTCAAAAAAGAATGACCTCTTTCTAAATTTGAAAACAATTTAGCTTGAACTTACAATTCTACCCTTAATGAGAAACTTTTATAATCACACAAATACTCTGGGTCCCTTTTTGACTTGTTTAGGACCACAAATTTCAAAAGTCTTCATTTTTTCTTAAACTACGTGTCAAGTCAAACAGGTTCATGTAAAGTGGAACGGAGGGTTTCATTTACCATTATTGAAACTTTGTATAAANTGGTTCGGGGTTTTCCAGCTTTTTCTGATTAAACCAACAACCAAATTTGATTGTTTTTAAAATTCGAAACTAAAACTAAACCAAACCAAAAAGTATGATTTTTTTGGTCGGTTTGATTTGATTTTCGGTTTGGTTCGGTTCGGTTTTTAGGAACACCCCTATTTTCAAATATTAAATTTGATAGCCAAATGTAGGATATTGATCTCCTCTAAGCCAAGTAGCTAGGGGTGTTCATGGTTCGGTTTGGATCGGTTTTTCCCTAAAAAGCAACCAAACCAAGTAAGTCGGTTTTTTAAATATTAGAACCAAACCAAACCAATTAAGTCGGTCTTTCTCGATTCGGTTTATGTCGGTTTTTCGGTTTTTTCGGTTATTTGTCGGTTTTTTCTTAAATATAAGACATACACTACCAAACACATATTCCGGAGACCATATTTTCAATGTAACACTATCAAATCAATTGCACTTTGAGAAATCTATTATTTACCAAGATATATTGATGATAATTGAATCAAATAGTGATGAATAATTTAAGGACTCAATTTAAAATATGTTATATTTAACACGAAATGGATTCCTACACTAAACAAAAGAAAACTACCAATCAAACTAGAATGTAAAGGTAAAGAACTATATTAAAAGTGCAAACTATTAACATTTACCATAAATTTTTTGAAACTTTGTATAACAATATATATATTTATAGGTGTAATAATAAATTTGAAATAGCTACTCCTATAGTCGGTTTGGTTCGGTTTTTTTCTGATTAAAACCAAAACCAAACCAAATTTGATCGGTTTTTAAAATTCAAAACCAAAATCAAACCAAACCAAAAAGTATCAATTTTTTTTGATCCGTTTGGTTTGGTTTGATTATTCGGGTTTTTATGAACACCCTACAAGTAGCCAATGGTTTATTAGGCAAATTAGTGATTTAGAGGACTGTGAAAGAGATAGCGAAAGGACAAGTGCTGTTGCTGATAACGGCAACGCCATACCCTGGAAAAGAGAAACGACAAATTACAAAAAAGAGGAAGAAAAAGCGAAGAATGGCCAAAGCATTGATGCTTAAACCCAATTGCAGTTTCGAAATCCTATCTACTGCACTCTTCAATTCACCTCCAATTTCTACGCCATCAGCAGCCATGGCAATGTGCTCCACATTTTGTCCCCGTGTATCCACTCAGCTAAATTGCAAACCCTTCTCCTTTTCCCCAGCTAATAAACCCTCTCGCTTCCTTGTTTCATTCAAGGCTTTTTCTTCTCAAACTTCTGCTTCTACTCCCAAAGGTACATTCTTCTTTCTTTTGTTTTTTCCGTCCAATTTTCATAACATGTATCGAGCTTCTGTTTCTCTAGTTTGAAATTTTTGTGAAGATTAATCTGTAAGTAGCGTTGGAGTTTAAGAAATTTATTATAAAATTTCCTATATGCTTTTCTGGAATAAGACACTATTCCAGAAAAATAGACTATCTAAGATACAACTGGAATTTAATTAAGCCACTACATGGCTCAGGCATTGGAATTTAAGTTGTATATCAATCACCAATACTCAAATTACATGAATTTGGCTGTACAAACTATTCTGGCTGTACTGTGAATATGTAGCAATCTGGTAGAGATAGAAATGGAACGAGGTTCTGCTTTTTTATGTGTTTGGTGGTTCTGGAGTGAGCAATGGCGGAGCCAGAATTTTCATCAAGGGGTGTCAAAATATAAATAATTAGATACATCGAAAAATCAAGGGGAGTCAACGTATAGTAAATATACATATAATAAAAAAATTATCTAGCAATATAATGTAATTTTCTGGCGAAGCGGGGACGAATCAATTTTAGATTTTGGTCTGTTTTGTTAAGCATAGTATACTTCCCCTGTTTTATATAGTCTTAAGCAAAGGCATCTTGTTGCCGTTAGAAAGATTGAAGGTCTTTAGGACTTCTGGATATATAAAGCTCTGATATGTTAAAGCTGAACTATGGTGTTTAACATGATGGGCTTTTAAAGTTGATTTGTCAGGGCTGCTTAGAATTGAGTCTATTATGCAAAGCATTAAGATATCTGGGCATTTCTCTTGATCCTTGCACCTGAAAGCAAGAAGAAAGTATTCTGGCAGCACGGCACCATGTTAAACCTGAAATAGGATGAACTTATTGATTATATCAGGATTTTGTCATTGTCAACAACCTGAATTTCCTCTTATAAGCTGTCGTTTTGCATTGAGTTCTCTATTTCTTATGCTATTTTACAACTGACAGATAGTTTAGTTGTTGCATTTTGTCTGATTGGCGTTTTAGTTTGTCTGCAGCTGATGATACTCCAGCAAGCATTGGATTTCTAGGTCTTGGAATTATGGGCTCCCCTATGGCGCAAAATCTCATAAAAGCAGGGTATGTTCCAATTATTCCTAGATAGACTAATTTAATGGATTTCAATGTGCCTTCACTTTGTGAACTTCATGAATCACTGGACAATGTTTATTTTTATCTTCATACTCATCATCATTGTTCTTCCTTAACCAGCAGAATTGTGATTATCCTAAACTGGTGATCTTTCAAAAGCATATGTTGATTATACAAAAGATGTTCAGAGCAGACACACTTTTTTGTCTGGAGCAGTGAAACATG